CAAATCCAAGACTGACTTTTGGACGCCTGTACCTGCAAAATAACGGAGACTCCTATTGGTGGGAGCTCCGCCTCCGACGGTCAAGTTAGAACGTGTATGAGGAGTTTAAGTGCGGAAAGTAAAGTCTCTCTTGAAGTCCAAGAGAGGATCTGCAATGTGAATTGCTCAGTTTTTGGGTGTCAGGTGACTTGACAAGTTCTCTGCTTTGAGAGTAAGAATAGGTGAGAGCGTCTATCTGGGTCGATATGAAGCTCTCTGAATGTGTTTGAAAATTTCTGAATAGGTGTTTCCTTGGGGGAAACATCTTATTTATAGTCTAAAAGACTGTGCCCAATACTAGGTTTTCGGGAAACCTAGGACTGATTGGGCTTGCCTGGGAAGTTGGGCCGTTGCAGGCTGCTTTTCCTGATAGGCCTTTCTGTCTGCCACGTGGCGTGGCCCGATAGGCCCACTTGGGACCTTTTGCGAGATGACACGTGGCAGACTCTGATTTGTCCATGTGGAGGCCACATGGCATCACATGATTAGCCCACGTGGCACCTTATGATTGGTCCACGTGGCACCTTATGATTGGTCCACGTGGCGGTTTGTGATTGGTCCACGTGGCAGGAAAAATTCCCCTAATCACTAAGCATGGCAATTTGTTCCTCACTAACCTGTATCGAAAAGATCATATTACTTACAAAAGAGAACATAATGTTATTAGCAAGAAACAAATATGAAATTATTTGCATTGAAAAAGAACAAAGATAGAATGTTCCTTTACCTTTCTATGAGACCTAATCAAATGTCTCTTTGAAACAGGAACCCTACTGTGATTATGATCCATAATGTGATTGACCACGATAAACAAACCAGAATTCTTATCAACATCAAATTGAATATGAGCCTTGTAACCTGTGTGAAAATTCCTCTTTTAGTAAACTTTTGGTTATTCACCAGGTTTCTTCTCTTGTTTAAAACCAGCAAAAGAACATACAAAAAGCGTTGTCGAATTGTAACTTTATCTTCTCTACGATTCAACTTATCCTTACGTATACCAAAACTGTGTTTAAAGACATAACTATTATACAACACATAAGCCTCTTCATCATACTTAACTTTTCTATCAAACAATTTTGATTCACTTGCCTCAATAAAACCTGAAATAGTAGATCAATATATGTATCTGTTAAGATAACAATATATACACATTTCAATTGAACGTATGTTCTTTTATTTATTTAATTTTTTTTTAATTATTTTTTTTCCTAAGAAAGAACGTATGTTCTTTAATATATCAATAATGTTCTTTAATATATCAATACGTTCTTTGATATGTTAATAATGTTCTTTAATATATACACATTGATTACAGCACTTTGATTTGAGCAAAGTACATAAAGAGTACAACAAAGTACATATACATATTTAGCAATTGTACATGCGTAATATCAACATTGATTTTAGCAACTTGATTTCAGCAAAGTACATAAAGAGTAAAACAAAGTACATATATATTTAGCAAATGTACATGCGTTTTTTCATATAATATCAACATTGATTTCAGTACTAATAAATATAATAAGTTAAATAAAAGAACATAACTAATAAAAGAACTTCATCTTCAACCTTAAACATATTGCTGTCAAAATAAATATATAATTATAAATCGATAATAAAATTTAAATTAGCAATAATACCTAAATTTAACAATAAAAAATAAGAATTAACAAATGAAAAGATAATCGATTAACCAATTTACCTTCATTTTCATTTACGGTATCCTCGAATTCACCTTCATTGTTGATATCATCATCATCATCACCAACAAATCTAGCATCAGATTCATGGCGAAATTTGGATTGATAAACCATTATTAACTTCTTCTACAGAGAATTCTATCGATCGGTCGACAAATTTCTCTCTGTATTATTCTCTCTCTGTAATTTTCTCTCTCTAAAATGTTTAAAAATGGAAAATGTCAATTAAGGATGATTATCAAAAACTGAAAGCTATTTAAACGGAAAAAACTTCCTGTAATTAAGCTACATTTTTTTTTCCAATAATTTGATTCCAGCAATTTAGTTACGCCACATCACAAGGTGCACCCTGGTGTATTATACAAATTTCAAGTGACGGAGCGGGTGTAGATTTAAACAATTTTCACTTAGACATATATGGATGTTGGATATGTATTCGCCATGGTGAAAGATTTTTATTTTTAAAAAAAAAGTGAGTATGGATCGGACATAGAAGAGGGGGTGTTTGCACCCTCTCTCACCTTGTTTGTTCTCTAATTTCAAGGTTCTACTCTTACTTGCTACGATTCTCCATTTTATACGTTTGTCCCTAGCCCCTTGGCCTCACATGCACCTATTTATATGTATGGATTGAGCATGTGATGTTAGACAAAGTTGATCCCCAAATGATTTTGGTATAATAAGATTAACCTCCTTTAATTTTATAATAGATTATCCAGTTTATTATTATATTGCTATTTTGAGAATGAAATAAAATTTAAAGTCATCTAAGATCATTTTCTCATCAAGTTTACTTATGCTACCATGTTGTGATATCTTTGCGTGTTTAAACTAAATTTTACTTATTTTACAATGTTTTGTCATGTGCTCGTGTCTTTGTCGTGCTAGGTTGTGCCACAGGTCTATTTGCTTGGTCTACTATCATCTTTAGTTGAGGCTTGCGAATCCCTAAAAGGAATGGGGGAGGATAGGGCAAGGGTTGTATCTGTACTCGACAATAGTGATTAAAAATTAAGTGAGCCCTTTCTTAAAAAAAAAAAGAATTAAGTGAGCCCCAATTTATCATCTTACTAATCATAAGCGTATCAAGTGGCAAAGCCATTATTATTTTTATTGGTCAGCGCGCTGTCATGTCAGTAGAATATACAAAAAAACATAAATATTTGTTGCGAAAAAATAGGTGTTTTAAATCTTAAGTCGAAATAACATCGTTTGTTTTGAAGTTGGGCATAGTCAAAACGAAAATTTATAGGAATAAAGTAGGAAACTAACCAACCTATGCTAAAACCCTAATTATGAGGGTATAATTTTTAATTCAATTACTAGGTAGAAAGTAATACTATAAATGGGAGTAAAAATAATAAAAATATTAAGTATATATATGCGTAAATTCTACCTAAAAAATGGCTGGAATTATTGTTAATTTATAAATTTGGCTTAGATACATCTAATAGTGTAGACCAACCCCTTCATTTTTCGACTTCACAATAGCTAACAAAGTAGAAATCATACCATATATTTTATGTCGTAAAAATAAAATAAGGCTGAATTTAAATGATGTAAAGAAAGGTCGTGCGACATTTTAAATTTTTTTTTTTTTTTTTCCTTGTTCCATTATAGTCAACCTCATTTAAGAAAAAAAATTATGATATCCTTATCCAAGTAATATTCCATGCTTAGACTAAAATCTAATACTGTGGCATTTCTGTTGTTTAGATTTATTGTAAAAGCGAAATGTCAATATCAAAATAGCACCAGTGGTCTAGTGGTAGAATAGTACCCTGCCACGGTACAGACCCGGGTTCGATTCCCGGCTGGTGCATTATATTTTGTTTTTTTTTTTTTTTTTTTTTTTTTTTTTTTTTTTTTTTTTTTTTAACAGCTAATAAATTTTGTAAACTGATTGCATGAAATAAACTCTTGATGGTGGTGGGTGTGGCACCTTGGGAGACGGTAGTGACAGGTAACCTCCAGAGGAGATGGGGGGAGTAGTGGTGGAAGTTGCGGTTGTGGTAGCTAGAGTGGTTTCCAGTGGTGGTGGTAAACGGGGAGTCTTTGGAGTAGACGATGGTGATGGTGGGTTTAGTGGTGTGAGGATAGTTGTGGGGACCGGGGGTGGTGGCTTTGGTGACGGCGGTGGTGATGAGGAGCAAGTGACAGGGCAAGTGCCACACTTACTTATGCAAAGTTGCCCTGCAACAGCTGTTGGTGAGCTTTGTGGAAGTAGCAGTGTATTGTTCTTGACATGATACATTTGTTACAAGTGCCAATGTTATGGCTAATTTCATAAACCTCATGGTGTTTAACAAGCGTGTGAGTGGTGCCTAATAAAGTTGGGAACTTAATTTTATATGCTTCTTGTAAGAAAGGTAAGGTATATTTGCCTCATATTTTTGGCTTTTGATGTGTATGAAACTCCTCTGTAATAAGAAATGTCAAATGTGTTTGTAAAAAAACAAGGAGCCAAGTCTTCAAGACATGAATATAGATTATGGGATTTAAACTCAAATGTCAAGTATATTATCTCAAAAACTTCATCAGCTTATTAGGTTAGGTGCCAAAGTAAAAAAGGACAAGCTATATAGCATTATAGCAAAAGCAAACATATTTTTATGTCCTAAAATGTAATTAGACAATCCCTTTTTATCTTGTGCAATTATTGTATTGTAACCATTACACATCAATAAAGGGTTGTGAGAAGGTTGCATTACTAACATGGAGCAACCATGAATATGTTTTTTCGGCCACCTTGGAGTGTATTTATTCTTTCTAATCTTTCACTCGTATTTTTATAGTTTTAGGGAAATGATTATTGGTTTATACTTTGTAACTTAGCTTGATCTCTAATATGCCATAATAACTTTAATACAAGTGATGACGAGATTAAAGAACGAGAGGCCATCATTACAAAAAAATAAAAAAAATAATAAAAAAAAAATAAAAAAAACAATAAATAAAAAAAGAGAGTAAAATCATATCAAATTCTTTGACTAAGCTAAGTTGAGAGTTTGAAACATTGTAACAAAAAATTTGTGGACAAATGGAACATAAAAGTAGTTTATCACTCTAAGTCTGATGCTACATAACTTGCATTGTACAAAATCCAAAAAATAGTGCTAAATAAAACATCTTGTAGGCTTGTAGCTCCATAACAAAGTAAAACAATTTTACTAATTGAAAAATAAATCAAAAACAAAGAAGAAAATGAATACAAAACTATATATTCCTTAGATCAATATTACTATTCATATGGACTTATCATACTATGACAAGAAATAATACATTAAAAGCAACGATTATAACAATAGAGAAGTAAATCGGCAAAGGAAGAGATGAAATTGCAGCATTAGACTCATAGAAGTAGTAGTATGGGTTAGGAGGGGAAGGACCAGCTGGATTTATCACCAAAGGAAATGAAACTGGTGGACTGGATTCACTGGAAGGAGGTTTTTTACCACTACCCCCACCACTACTCTTCGGCGAACCACCAGAGGATGAGGGCGGTGGTGGTGGTGGAGATGGTGGTGGGTGTGACACCTTGGGAGATGGTGGTGGCAGGTAACCTCCAGAGGATGGTGGGAGTATTGGCAGTAGAGGTGGAAGTTGTGGTGGAGGTGGCAGGAGGGGTTGGATGGATTCTGGTGGTGGTGGTGAATGGGGAGTCTTTGGTGTAGACGATGGCGATAATGGGTTTAGTGGTGTGAGGACGGCTGGGGGGCCGGGGGTGATGGTGTTTGTGACGGCGGTGGTGAAGAGGAGCAAATGACAGGGCAAGTGCCACACTCACTTATGCAGAGTTGCCCTGCAACAGCAGTTGGTGAGCCTTGTGGAAGTGGCATTGTATTTTGTTCTTGACATGATACATTTGTAACAAGTATAAGTGCCAATATTATGGCTAATTTCATATGTCTCATGGTTAGTGCATATGTTTCTAAGGCATAAGAAATGTAAGAAAGGCAGTAGAATAAATGGTAGTGAACTTAAGGTGTTTATCAAGCGTGTGAGTGGTGCTTAATAAAGTTGGGAACTTAACTTTAGATGCTTCTTGTAAGAAAGGTAAGGTATATTTGTCTGCTCCTTTTGGCTTTTGATGTGTATGAAACTGGCCTGTATTAAGGAATGTGTTTGTAATAAAAATGAGCCAATTTTAAAGACATGTAAATATTGATTAGATGATATATGTGTTTTAAGCTCAAATTTCAAGTAGAATCTTTCAAAAACCTAAAGTTATTAGGTTAGTTGTCAAAGGAAAAATGACAAGCTATACAGCATTATAGCATAAGCAAAACATACTAGCTCTCCGTATGATGTCCTAAGAGTTTTGAAAATGTAACTACACCGCTATACAATCCCTATATATTTGGTGCAATTGTTCTATTATTGATGTAGTGCAACCATTATATTTTAACAAACTGAAAAAACTATCCTCAATTCAATTTTCACCGATAAAATTATCTTAATTCATCAGGGTTATGAGAAGGTTGCATAGCTGACTTAGTATATATGTACATAAGGATTATGAGAAGGTTGCATTGCTGACTTGGTGTACACGTATATATTTTTTTCGGCCACCTTATACAATTAGAGTGTTATTTATTCTTTTCACTCATGATACATTTACAATATTAGGGAAAGTTAAGCTACGTGTGTAGTAGTAATAAGGCTATTCTTTTTCCCACTATATTGCCTTAACCTTCAACTTTGTATGCTTTCTTGGAGCTTTAATTATACTTTTCTTGCGCACAGAAGTTAAAATCCCAAGACTCAGCATAACACCTTATTCTGATGCAGCTTTTTGGGCTCTTGTCTGCTCCCAGAATAGAATTACAAAATATATTCACGCCTTAACCAAATAATTGAAAGAATTGAGATAAAAAAAAAAAAGTAAAAAAAAAATAAAAAAAAAGAGAAAAAAATAAAAAAAACATCAAGTATTGCATATTTCTGAATTGGTTGTCGCATCATCTCTTCTCATAACTAAGGATATGATATGATTTTACAAAGGAAAAAAAACATTATATAATAATCCTAGTTGTGTTATTTTTATCCTTTATGAATCACTTAATTATAGTTGTGACAGAAAAAAAAAAAACATACATAAACCTAATCATTAACCGATATTGTATCAGAAAATGTGACACTTTTCTTACTCGTAATATCTTATATCATTATAGGTGACTATTAATTTCAAGAAATCGGGAGTAAACTCTTGAACCAATAACAGGAAAAAAAAAAAAAAAAACCTGCAATTTTTTTCCCTTGGTTTATGGTTCAGACTTTTAGAGAGATTTATCATCTGGACACCAATATGCAGCAAGAAATCAAATCACTTGAAGAAAACAACTGTGTTCATTGCTAATTACATAGTTTACACAAGAGCCAAAGGCTCTAAGCCCCCTTCCTCCCACTCCCACCGCCACCCTTTGATAATTATGATCATGCTGTTCCTGATGTCTTAAAGTATTTTGTTATAGCTCAATAGGGTTTGAAGTTGAACACATCCTATGAATGATCGAAAGCAAGGATGAGCAGAATTTTATGCAGAAAATGAAACAAAAAAACTATTCTTTCTCCTTCACTTTGGAAGCATGGTACCTTAGTAGAAGAACGCCATGTACATAGTGCTTTGTATTTCATTTACAGGATCTACATCTTCAAAGGAAACATGATAAATATAATATCAATGTTCATCTTGTAAAGATAATTATATAATGATTTCACCAGTTTGAAACCAGGCCACTTTGAAACCAGGCCGAAGTGGCCTGCTTTTACACGCTTTCTAAAGAAGTTTCATCTGAGCCCTGTGATGGCGACCAAGACATGGTCTGTGATGACCCCTGATCAATCATCAACATTTCAACATTTAGCAAATCATCAATGATTTTCATTTGAAGTTCTTTCTTGCCTATAACACCACAATGTCAATTGACATGGATAATCAGATAATACATGACTTCAAGCAAGATTACCTAGTGAATCCTTATACTTTGTGTAACTTAACAAAATATATCCTAAGCCTAGGAGGAGAATATTCTATGTATTCTCCCTCGAGTCCTGCCCTTCCTAAAGGCTGGAGTATAGGCAGAGGTGGCCAGGTGTTGAGCATTACATGTGATAGATGAAGCATTCAAAAATAGATAGCGGAGCATGCATGTGGCATTCTTAGGGAGAGAGAAAAAGGCATCAGTTGAAATTTTTTCCCTTGAGAAAAATTTGCGAACAAGAAATATACTCCGAATTAGAATTAGATATATATAAAATAAAAAAAAAAATAAAATAATAATAATTAAAAAAAAAAACACGATTTGGGACATTCATACTAAGGAAGTGTAAATAATATTAAGGGGTAGATGGAGTAGCTAATTACCTGGCTAGAATTTGATGATCGATGATGTGAACTTGACGACGGGTTTTTGCCACTCTTGCCTGTTGACCTTGGTCGTGGAACTGAGTTGTGAATTCTTGGCTTGTAAGCATAGAAATTGTTTGGGTCTTCAGTCATCCCAAAATCTTTTAGTCGAATGAGTTCTGGCAATACAACGGTAGCAAGATCTGGGCGGTCCCGTTTCCTAAGTTCAGAACATTTTAAGGCCAATTTTGCAAATGAGATAGCTTCATCAACCGGCCAGTCAGTCACATTTGGGTCCAGCATATCAGCAAGAGTTCCAGTATCGATGGCCCGTTGAACATGGTGACTGAGACCCATTGCAGGTTTTGCGGTAATTATCTGAAGCAACATTATCCCCAAAGAATATACATCAGATTTGGTGGTTAACATTCCTGTCTGTTGATACTCAGGATCAATGTAACAGAAAGTTCCTGCAGCAGAAGTCATGTGATACTGTGTGACACTATTTGCCACAGAAGGCGGAACCAATCTTGCTAGACCAACATCACTGATTTTGCTCACATAATTTTTGTCTAAGAGGATATTCGCTGGCTTTAGATCACGATGCACAAGGGGTTCTGGTTTCGCCTGGTGGAGAAATGTAAGGGCAATTGCAATCTCAGCAGCTATTTTGAATCGGATTCTCCAGGAAATAGGAGCGGTCCCACCTTTCCGGAGGAGCCTGTCCTCCAGGCTTCCATTGTTCATGTATTCATAAACCAAGCAACCATACTCAGGGCATGCTCCTAGGAGAAGAACCATATGAGGATGTCGCATGCAGCTTAGTACCTCAACCTGCCATCGAGTTGGAAAGGAGATTAAAGAAAACTAATTTGAGCATACTCAATCTAGCAAATTGTGGTAATTTTATTATGCTAATATTGGATCACCAAAATCCCATGATTCTATAGTTATAAAGGAAAACTTTTAGGACACACATCATGCCTTACACTGACAAATTTAATCCCAAATTTCCTTAGTCCTTACGCAATTAATAACAGAAAATTAATTAAACTTTAGAATCACACGGGTTACATATATCATAACATCTACCAAGTCACAACATATATGATGAGGTGTGGTTGAGCTTAAGATATACAAAGCTAGCATAATGATTGGTTATGCAAATCAATAGACAATTACAAAGGCGAGAGCAACTAGGATCGACAGGCTTCCCTAGGTAAGCAGCCTCTGAATTTCTTGTACAATTTTAGCATAATGATATTAATTAGAAATATTGTTGACACTCATATTCTCATACTCCGCGATCCATACATTTTAGCGTAAAAGAGAAATTAGATTAAAATTGTTTTACCTCCTGTTGGAACTGCTTCCTTCCTTGTGCAGCATCTGGTCTTAATACTTTGATGGCAACAGGAGTATGATCCAGCCTACCTTGATAAACAGGTCCGTACCCACCTTCACCGACTTTATTTTGTGGAGAAAAGTTTTCAGTTGCGATTTCTATCTCATCAATGGTGTATTTCCTGTACCTAACATCATTATGAGCTAACGCATTTAATGCTCGATTCTTCTCATCTGCTTCTTGCTTAGCCTTATATTCTGCAAGCTTTCTTTTCTGTGCTTCTTTCTCAGCTAATCTCTGTGCCGCTTCAGCAGCTTCTATAGCAGCTCTACACTTCGCCTTCTCCATCTCAACAACTGCATGAGCAGACTCTTTGGAGCTACGTGTTTGCTCAAATTTTCGAATTTCCTCCATCTTCCAATCATTAAGCTCTTTAGCCTGAACAGTTACCAAAAAAACAAACTATAAAATTCCAACATTTCAGTAGCACACAATATTACATACAAGACCACAGGACCAGCTATCACCTTCTGCTTCGCAGTGATTGCTTCTTTGCAAGCTGTGCTGTACATATCCATTGTTTGCTTTAACTCAAGCCTTAAGCGTCTCATTTCTGCCTCTAGATCATTCTGCTACATAACAAACACCGAAAATTCATTGATACGTGTTACTGAACGATTATATATATTATCAACATATTACTTACTGGTGAGTGAGTGAGATCCTTTCTTGGAGGACCGCCAACAAACGAAAAGTCTGAGTCCTTGGCAGGCACTTCAAGCATATTATGGAATGAGTGGTCAATATTATCAGCATCATCAGATAAGGAATTGCGGTGGTTGGATGTTCCAGCATTAATGTCAATATTTTCCATTGATGATGACCCCTTCCAAGCACTTCCCAACACAGACGCCCGTCGTCCAGCCCTGCTGCCTTCAATGCTTCTATCCCAAGATTTTCTTTCAGATCCATTGGAGTTCAGTGATCCTCGGTAAGAAGGTGATCTGATCTCAATGAAGAAAACAATTTTATCAGACCTTAGAAAGATTACGTGAACGAAGCATATTAGGAAACAACCATAAAAAGACCCTCTTATAAAGGTTAGGATGTTAGATAATATAACTGCATCAGACCATATTTTTTGCAATTTGGAGCTGTTCATAATTTGTAAATTGTAGAATAGTTCTGTGAATACAAAATTTGCGGTTTCAGGGGATTTTGAAGAATTGTAATATATTGCAATTCTCTATAATAATTTAATATTAAAATCTAGCTATCATAAATTCATAAGACGTAGCTTAAGACTATGTATAATACAATGTCTTCACCATTTAGATTTAGAGCCTAGAATTGCAAATGTTGATATACAATGTTTTGAATACTGGCAAAGAAAAATAGAGATGGCTACGCAAAAAGTAATTCTTCAACGTATAACTAATAATTATAGCAAATACAAATTACCTTAAGCTGAAGTCGTCAGCAAGTGCCTGTTCCATTGAAAATTGATGTGGCAATCCAAGAGATGGAAGCTTTGGAGGAGTGGGAGTATTCGCAACAGGACGCTGTGCTGATCGGACACTGAGAACTTTTGACTTTGCAATAACATACACAGAACAGAAATCTGGTGCACATTTGGTCACATAGCTTGGCACATCAGGCTTTTTAAAGGTTCTGTAAATAGCAACAATATAGTTTCAGGAACTAGGCTTGTCAAACATCATTTTGCTTCTTTTAAAAGAGACAAGAAATACGACTAACTTTGCAACAACATTTCTTGAAGATGCACCGATAACAATGTTAGTGATGAAGTTGCAGTTCACATAGTCCAGGATAGCCCTAGCTATGTCAGCATCTTCAAGAACAACCTCTCGCACTTGAACCTGGTAATATCAAATGATAAAAAAATTTCAATAATCTATTTGAACTCCACAAATTAACAACTGTGACAGCTAAAATGTTACTTGATAACCAGAATTTTTAACAAGCAAGTACACTTTCGTATAAATTCTCTCCTTCTAACTTATAAAGTAGTCGATTAATGTATTATCAAGCAATATCAGCTTGAAATACAACATTAATATATCTAGGTTATTTTCATTAAGCATGTTCTACAACATAAATTCTCCATGAAGATATAATTATCACTATGTCTTTACACAACCAACATACCTTCACGGGTATTATTTTTCTAGTAACTTATCAAGGTGCCTATCCATAATGCTTATACTTCATGTTTCTCAATATGTAAAACACCATAAAAACAATGATATCAAAATAGTCAATAGGATGGAAACATGACTTTTAAATACACACCATGCTATATGGCTTTTCAGTATATAGACCATTAATATAAGACATAACAAATCTACAAAGATGGTCATTTGGCGCTTGAAGACCTTTCAACATTAACTAAATGCTAATAAGGAGAAACAAGAACAAAATTGAAAATTTTTCTCATAATTTTGCATTTTGTTTGTTACAAAAAAAAAAAAAAAAAAAAAAAAAAAAAAAAAAAAAAAAAAGGCCGGCATACATTATGAAACAAAGGGAGTCGAAATGATTAAAGAGCATTGCTTCACACATAATACCCCAAAAAAATACAGATAGCTCTGATACCCCAAGTGCCAAATCTATCAATTCCACACCAAACATACACCTTAAATGGCATAAGATTAATGATAATATCATGAACTTTCAAACTTATTAAGGTGAACTTTACACATCCAAATAAATATGTTACATACAATTCTATGAACAATATACCAGGAAAATGATAACTGGCTATCTAATATATATAAGCTGTGTCAAGTAATTACCGATTTGCGAGCACAAAATCCACGATAAGGAATGAAAATATGTGTTGGATCAGATTCAATTCCCCCTGTGCCTACCTCAAATAACCCACCACCATCTGAAAACAAAAACAAGCCCGCGAAAATTAGAAACTTTATTATTTCAACAATTTCAAACCAAACCAAACCAAACCAAAATCAGCAATAAGGAAAAGTTTATAATTGAATTCTCATATCATATCATATCATATTTTGGAAAATTAAAAAGAGAGGGATGGATACCTACGATTTCTCTGCTTAACATGGATCAAAATGAGGAAATGCTTGCCGGACAAAAGATGATCAATTGCCCATTTAACCGCGTATTGGCTATGCTTATCCTTATCGATAGCCACCGCAGTACAGTTGATGGGCAGCGGCGCCAAATCTTCCGATAAAGCCATGCCCACCAACTGTTTGTTGAAATGCCTCTGAGAACACAAATAAGATTGTAGCAATTTTCCTTCTTTTGAGGAGAGAGAAAACCAAAACAATGGGGAATGGAGAAGAGAGATAGAGAGAAAAAAGATTGAGGGTTTTTTTCTTCTCTTTCTCTCTCTTACCCCATAAAGCTAATTTCCTTTCTTCTTGAGTTGTTTTCTCTTTCTAACAGAAGATTTTTGCGCGGGAGATTCGGAATCTTAACTAACTTTTATTTTTCTTTATATAATATTTTTTTCAATGGTGTAAGTGCAACCTGTGCAACCTAACTTTTGAGTTCTAGCCAAAAAAGAAAAAGAAGCGCCTCATTCGAAGATATTTGAGTATATTTTGATTTTCATCGTTGTAATTTTTTTTTTCAATGGTATGAAGTATTATTAATCAACAAATTTATATATTGTAGAAAAAATGACAGCGATATAGAGCTAAAGATTTAGTAAGTCAATCAGACCATTTGATGTTCATTGTTAGCAACTTAATTAAAACTAGATTTATAATTGGTCATGTAATATTCCTTTAATTTGTAGTTGAAATTACATATACATTAAATCAAATTTTTTTAATGGCGGGCAGGTGTTGTGTTTTAGCTCTTTAATTTATATCTAGCGAGACAAATGTAACGTATTCGTTACAAAAGAGTACCCTTACTTAATTGGTTACTTACAGTAATGTTTAGTGAAAGTAATGAGGGCTAATTTTAATCTTCATTAATAGATTGTTTTGACGATAAAAAAGTAATTGGTTTAGAAATAACACGAGCGATAATGTTTTAGTAATGAGGGATCCATTGATCATAGCTCTTTGCTATTGAAGTTCTGTCAAGACCAAATTGAAGGAAAAAGTTACAAGAAGTATAATTTACTTAAATTATGCGTCCAACATAGTATATTTTTGTGGAACGAAATAATATAAAGATGCTAAAGAAAGTTACGATCTTTGAAGAATTTTATAAGAGGTATAACACATAATACATGTGTGTCAAATATAGAGTATTTTTTTTAGCATGGTGTTAGTTTATGTGAACAAGCTTTCTTTTTAGAATCATCAAATCAAAGCAATTATTGGATTTCATCAGTATTTACTATTTAGCCATCAATATCAAAGAGAACCACACATAAACTATGTCTTGAAGAATGGAAGCCTAACATCAGGAGCTAAATTTTGGAAACAATTGTAAAGCCTCTTGGTGTGGTAAATTAGTCAATCACTCTTGCCTTGTTCTGCATCAATTTCTTGCAAGTAATGTTCCTCATCAAAGGCAGCCATGCAACCTAAATTATCATCATAATTGAAACAATTCAAAGTTATTATTGATAAAAGTAAAACACAACAATTGAACAAAACAAACCAAGCAAACAAAATTGAACACTAACCGGTGCCAGCAGCCGTGACAGCCTGCCTATACTTGCTATCCTGCACATCACCAGCCGCAAATACACCCTTAACACTCGTCTTCGTCGTCCCCGGTTCGGTAACCACATACCCATCTTCATCCAAAGCCACCTGCTTCTCCAAAAAATTAGTAGCAGGTTCATGCCCAATAGCAAAAAACAACCCAGAAACTTCTACATCCTTAACCTCTCCACTAACCACATCCTTCACCTTCAACCCTCCTAAAACCCTATTCTCCTTCTCCACATCCCCAAATGCTTCAACCACCTCCGAATTCCACAACACCTCTATGTTAGGATTCTCCAATGCTCTCTTTTGCATAATCTTCGAAGCTCTAAATTCACCTCTCCTATGAATTATATATACTTTCGACCCAAATTTTGTCAAGAAAATCGCTTCTTCCATTGCCGAATCCCCGCCGCCAATCACCGCCAACGGCTTATTCCTATATATCAGCAACGCCCCGTCGCATGCGGCACAAGCCGATACCCCTTTATTCCAGAACTTTCCGTTTTCCTCACATCCCGGAAAATTCAGCTTCTTTGCCACGGCACCGGTCGCAATAATCACCGAGTCAGTAATTACAGTCTTTGAATGACCCCAAAATACCTTAAACGGCGTCGTTGAGAAATCGACAGAATTAACCGTTTTCTGATAACATCTGCGTACCGAAACGCAGCGATTGGTCGCGAAACTTGTCTGTAATATCCAGACCCGAAATTCCTTCAGGAAAGCCGGGGAAATTCGACGTCGGTGTTGGTTGTTAGCTGGCCACCTGGCGCGATCCCGTTGGCCATACACCCTTCAAAGAGAATGGGCTTGAGTTGGGCCCGTGATGCGTAGATTGCTGCGGTGTGGGCCGACGGTCCAGACCCGATAATTCAAAGGGGGGTTCGGATGATGTCCTCCATTGCCGAATTAGCGGTGGTCGTAGTGGTTTTGGCAGCGGAGGAAGAACTAATGATGAGAGGAGGAAGAGAGCTGACGCATGGTGATAGACTTATACTTCGGGAGCACCGGAGTGAGAATGAAGGGGAACAAACGGATGGTATTCTTTCCTAACTCTGTTAACTCACTTTACCTTCTTCATCCTCTCTCCTCAAAGCTTCATCATCAATGGCAGCCATAGAAATTAGAAACACCACCTCCACGCGAACCATATATTCACCACCCGAACCATATATCTACTCCCGCATCCGTCCTGTCACCCCTTCCCACCTCCACCTTTCTCTCTCTCCATCCACCGTCCACCAACACGGCAACACCGGACTATGCAAGAAGATCAAAGGAGACATTTCCATCCATTAGACTAAAGCGGAGATCACACAGGACTCGCAACGAGGAAGTCCTTGCCCATAATTACTATTGTCATGAATGACAATAACAAGTGTCTGTTGGTATATTTATATCTCATGTTGGTATAGTAGTTGTACCAACATAAAGTCTAAAAATACCAACAATTTTGTTGGTATATTTAGACCTCATATTGGTATACTAATTATACCAACTTGAAATCTAAAAATACCAACAGTACTTTGTTATTGCCATTGAAGACGCGAGCAATTATTGATTTGGACAACCTCCACTGCAACATCCTCAAGGTTGATATATAGGAACCAACATCATAATCTAATACTTTTCGTACTAGTTTAATTTCTTTCTCTATTTCTTGTTTATTCTGTGTTATGCTGATTTCAAAAAAAACATGGAAGCAATATTGTAACTTCTTCATTCTTATACATTGATTAGGAAAATCCATCAAGTGAGTACAATTTCAAGCTAAGGAAGTATATATAGATTATGGAATAGGTCGGTACATACATACATCACATTGATACAACAAAAACAAAATGAACAAAGTACATTATCACAGCAACCTTGACAACAATTTTGATGTACTTAACAAACTCATCCAATGTTTCCTTTACAATGACTATCATCCTTTGCTCTGCAACAACTTCCTCGGCCGATCGGACTATATCATCCTCATTCATCCAGGCAAAGAATCCACAAAATCTACACTTGTAATATGGTCTCCCAGAATTGGTTACTGTGTCTGAAATTCTGATTTCGGATATTTTGGGAGGATTACAGCAACATGGTGTAACTTTGACCCATTTCGAGCTTCCGTCTAGGAAGATCCTGTTGAATAAAGAAGAACATGATGCCTTAGGCACGTACATTACAAAAAGGAACGGAGGGAGTACTTTTTGATTTTTTTACCAGTTAGAAAACAAAATGACAAAAATGTGCATTGATGAACGATTTATTACCTCGTGCTCAAATCATCTATAGGTGGATGTTCAACCGAAAGCTGATTTGTTAGTCCAAATGACGAAGATGGAAGCTTAGGCGAAGATGGAGTATTTCCAAAAGGACGTTGAGCAGATCGTAAATTGGACAATTTCGACTTAGCAATCACATACACAGAACAAAACTCGGGTGCATATTTGGTCACATGGCTTGGTACATCAGCCTTTTTAAAAGTTCTGTAATTAGCAACAACATAGTTTTGAGATCAATCGAACTAGGCTCGTTAATATAAATTCTTACTTGTTTCCGTATACACGTACTAGAACTTCAATTTATATGTAAAAAGAAAGGATATAAAACTAACTTCTTAAGAGCATTTCGTGAAGATGCGCCCATAACAATGTTAGTGATGTAGTTGTTGTTTACATAGTCCAGAATAGCTTTAGCTACGTCAGTATCTTCTAGAACAACCTCTCTTACTTGTACCTGATAATAAGCTTATTAATTAATTGAAAATTGATGTCCAATTTGTTCTAATATTACTCCATATATTCAATTTTGACAAATAATTTATAAAATTGTACTCTATTCGTCAACAAATTATTGTCATTTTAGACTTGGCATGCATATTAAGAATAACTGAATAAGTAGTAGGATAATGTAATTTTTGTACATAGATAGTGAAAAAATAAGAATAAAAATTTTGGTTGAAGGAAAAAAGTTAATGGAAGACCTCACATTACATGAGATAAGGAGAAAGAGAATGAGAATGTGAGACTGAGAGTGAGATAGTGGTCGCGCCTACACCACATGAGTTGGATGAGTGAAATTTTCATTTAAGATAATATGACAATTATTTGGAGAATGACCAAATTAGTATACACTATAAAGACAATTATTGAGGATAAATGGCGTATATCTTTTATGTCATTGCATATGACTCTCGTCATCTACCTATATGCCTCTAGTTTACAAAGGTGGAGTAGCCTCAACTATTATTACGTTTTCATTTTAAAAAAGTGGTGCAACTTAATAAAAATGATATATTAAAGTGTCAAATAAATACCGATTTGCGAGCACAAAATCCACGATATGGAATGAATATACTTTGTGGATCGGATTCAATGCCCTCCATAGCTCCATCAATTCCAATGGCTACAAGCAAATAAGATCCAAATCAAAGATAATAATCCTGCGAAATTTATGAGTATACAAAGTACTCTGTAATGTATGACCAAAATCTTTGGTCATAAAAAATTATATGTTGCTTTAACTTCCCACACATCACTGTGTGTCTAATTGTGTCAACATACTTACATACACTACTTTCTCTCCCAAAACAAAGACTCAGTGCCTCGAACTTCCCCTACTTTATCTCCATCTCTTCCTCTGAGGCTTCATTACTGCCTCCGTTTCTAAATATTAGCAACACTTTAACTTTGACACTATTTATATAATTCCTTTGATGCTCTATAATATGTACGGTCGTGTTACTCTTCTTGAATATTCATTTGTATGACTAACACTACGTTATTCACAAGTTTGACTCTAATTATATGCAATTATGTCTTAATAAGATTTAAGAAAAAATGATATAGTATTTGATCATATACATTAAGGTTAATCCCACAACCTATTATAACATTTTTTTTTTTTTTTTTTGATATGTATATTAGTAAAAATGTAGTTAAAGTTATATACTTCGGATATGATATTTCTCTTGTAATTTTACTAAAATTGCAACACTTGACATGTAGTCTTATTTGAGGTAAGAGAAGAGAGTGTAAAAATTAAGAAAGAATGGGATGATGTGAAAAATTGTACAAATATAAATTATTGAAAAAATGTTACAACTATTTTAAACGACCCAAAGTTTTAACCACAATATGTTTGATTAAATGCTCAAATCATATCATATTCGACATCGATCATTTACCCGAAAAAAAGAAAAAGAAAGAATACCTACGGTTTTTCTGCTTGACATGGATCAAGATGAGGAAATGGGTGCTAGACAAAAGATGATCAACTGCCCATTTCACGGCATATTGACTATGCTTGTCCTTATCAATCGCCACCGCGGTACAGTTAACCGGCAGCGGCTCCATATCTTCCGATGATGAATTCATGCCCACCTCTCTCTCTTTTGAGAGGAGAGAGTAAATAAAAGAAACGAAGAGAAAGCAAGAAATGAATTTGCCTCTTTTTCTCTCTCTTACCCCATATCTCTCCCTCTCTTAGTTGTTTACAAAAGATTTTGACGCGGGAATTTGGGTTTAAATAGTTAATCACCTTTTACCTTGGCTAAAAATACTTGTATCTAATAATGACACCCATTTCTTGTTAAAAGATAATTTCAATGACTCAAATCATTTTCTATTTATTGTCATTTACATAATCACAATCGATGTAGATTGATAAAGTATAGAAAGATTCACATTTTATCTGTTATTTTTATTGTATGTTAGCATTTTATGAAATTAATTACACAAATTTAATTGCTTCATATATATATATATATATATATCTTTTTTAGATTTGGAAAAATTAATAACAAAGGTCCTAACTATTACTGATCTTCTTTAAAAGAGCCGACCGATTAATTAACTTTGGACAGACCCAACTATACTTAAGTTTTCTCAAAACAGTTTAGTATGACTTGTTACCTGTTAAACGGGTAAACTTTTTATTAAAAAAATATTTTCAATTTTTGCCCTATTACGTCATAACCACCACAACTCCGTCCTCCTAGTCTCCACAACATAACCACTTGAATTTCCACCACCACCATTTTTCTTCTAACTCCCATTCTTTCTCTCTCTCCACTACTTCCCATCCACAACACTCAAGCCACCTCAAACTGGCAACCAACATTTCCACTATCCCACAACCATGGCCAATTGATGGCTACTCATCTTCTCTCTCTTTGCTTAACCTCCTCTTCTATATATCATATATGGCCATCAATTTCTCTAGGCGAAAGTTGATAAGGTTATTGTGTTGGGGGCTTTATGGTGGCGTCCCTAACATGGACAAGTGGGTTGTTATAGGGGTGAGTTGGTGCCTTGGTGGCTTCGAAAAGGTTATTGATGGGGGTGTATTATTGCGATTTTGTCGATGGGTAGGTTCTTGGTGACAATGTTGTGTTGGTTAAGTGGGTGGGTTTTTTAAAACTTACTATGGAGATCAGTCTGGGTTGGTGGTTTTTTGGGTGGGGTTGCTTTGAAGGTGGTGGTTTATTAATTGGTAGGGGACGTGGGGTGGTTGTGGCAATATTTAATTCATTATAGTGCAAATTTTGCTCATGTATTACATAATTGTAGATAATTAATAACTACGTAATTTCCTATTACATAATTTAATTTGTAGTCTGATCCGACGATTGTTGCTTGCCACTATACATATTGGATTGTTTATGCAATAATTTTAAGATTAATAAAGTTGCAACAATTTTAAGAGAAGAAGAAAAAACTGCAATATTAAAGGGAGGTTTTATCGAAATAAAAAAGAAAGGGGAAATTTTTGATTTTTGTAAATTCAAGGTCACGTGATATATACGTGACATATTTTACCTACAATAGCAAGTCGAATATAGGTTGGGTTCACACGTGTGAACTACACAAAATAGTTGGGTCCGTCCCAAGTTAATCAAAAGGTTGACCCTTTTAAAGAAGACTAGTAATAGTTCGGACCTTTCTTATTAATTTTTCCTTTATATTTTACTTTTTCCATTTGTATTTAAATTAATATATACAAGTGTTACACCCGTACTTTTGGTGATAATATTGTTTTAAAGAGCCGGAAAATATATTAAATCAAAATGTGTTAAAAAAAGGTCCTAAAAATTCAAATTCAGAAATTTTTACGGGTATATTAGAATGAAACGATAACATTTTGTAAGTGAAAATACTGCATCAAGTGGGTGTTAATAGGGATTGGAAAAAAGATTGGATCTTGAATGTTGAATACCAACATAGAATGTATGCTGTGCGCACCTTGTTCTTTTAGTTACTTCGACTTTAAGAAGGTTTTGAGGTAGGAAGGACGGAGCTAGGGACTGCAGGTTGTGAACGCCTGCAACGAGTTAATTATTGCTTCAGACTGTAGAATGTGATCGATATGTTGAGTCGAAATACTGTAAACTCCAGATTTGGGGTGAACTGCTTAGCTGCTATGGTGGACTGTGATACTCTGCTAGATCTTAGAATGCTGTAGTTGAAGACTTGAAGTAGTACGCCTTTGTAAACCAAACAGCCGAGACAATTGGGGAGGTTTTGAACATAAATACAAGTCTAAAAAACACCTGATTCCAAAAATGATACTGTATTATGTTCAGACACCATCAAAAGATATCAGGTTAGGACTCAGGACCTCAGCAGACAGCAGACAGCAGACCTGCAATAGCTTGCAGTGAATTTTCATCAAAACTACATCCCAGTATAATTTCCCCCCGATAGTTGACTCAATGATACACAGAACTATAAAAGGAAACCAGGTCTTTCATTAATTTCCAACCCAAAGGTACAAAAATTCACAACGATCAAGAAAATACACGATAGCCTTCTCTGTAAAATTGCCACATAGAAATTGCACAATAATACTGGTCTAGTAAAAAAAGCTCGAGATACTGACTGATCCCAACTATAAAAGTATAAGTAATGACAATTCATGAAACCAAAAATAGACGACAGTTACTAAGCAAAATCCTGTTTGTTGTTGTTTCTCTTTTTATGGGAGCTAGTAAGTGTTGTTTTAGCAGTTTGCCAGTCTTTCAATGAATCAGCACTACTCATAAAAGGGCAAGTTTCACTGATTCGAACTCCCGGACGTGGATTGGACACCTTCTGCTCTGAATCAGACTTCTTGGCAGTAGTTGAATCAGAGCAATCATTTCCCTTTGGAGTTATACTCGAATGACTACCTCTAGCAGCACTTTCTTGGGCTTCCTTTTTCTTATCTTCCCCAGCTACACCAGACCTTGATCTTCTATTGCCACCAAAAGCAGTTACACTACTAAAAAAGTTGTTTGAAGTGCCATTATTATTTGGTTTGTTTAACTGTTGCTTCTCAAGTAGATCTTTTGGCAAGATTTGTGAAATGCTAAAGGAGCTACTCTTTCCACCACCTACAAGCTGACTCCAAGATGATTTTTGCAGCCAAGTACTGCCTCTAGTTGCTATATTTAAACTTGAACTTGCTCCAGCCAGTTGAGCTGCCTGACGTCCCTCTATAGCTTCTTTTGACTGGGAAGATAAGCCATCCTTGTTTTCAGGCACAGCGTTGCTGATCCTTTCAAGTTCTTTGTTGATAGACAATGTTATATTACTAGGTTTATGCTCATCATTCACAACATCAATATCTCTCTTGTGTTTATTGCTGTCAGTTGATGTTTCTCCACCAGATGTAGGCTGTTCATCAATGTTAGTCTCGTCATCCACGTTTTCAGGCACAGAGTTGCTGACCCTTTCAAGTTCTTTGTTCACAGAAAATATCGTATTACTAGGTTTATGCTCTTCATTCACAACATCATTATTCCTTTTGTGTTTCTTGCGGTCGGTTGATGTTTCTCCACCAGATATAGGCTGTTCATCAATCTTAGTCTCACCACCAGGTGTAGCCGACCAGTAGAATGATCTGCTACTGCCTTCACCAACCAGTTTTTTCCATGAAGCCTTCTGAGTCGGCATGCCACTTGTAATTGTTTTATTGGTATTGGACCCTGTTACACTTATCAATTCCGAATGCTCTTCTGAGTCCATTATTTGAGTTTGAAAACGGGCCTTTTTTCCATGGATAGGAGATGCAGGATCCATTTTATTGCTTTCATTGGAAACTGATTTCCTTTTGGAAAGTTTTTCCTTTATAATCTGCGTACCAAACTTGCTTTTGGAAGGTTCAATAGAGTTCTCATTTGACCTCGCCATCTGCATCATAAGTCATCAAAACTAAGTCAAGCAGAGATTAATTTGTTATAAAACTTAACTATTGCAAATCACTTAAAATAAAAATCACACCTTATTAAGCAGGCTTGTTTGTAGCTCCCAGCTTTCTGATCCAAAATCTTGTCCAGCCCCCGTATTGATTTTAATATCATCATCATCATCATCTGTTTCTTCATCTATTTCGTTATTATCCTCTTGCGACTCAACAGTTGGGGCAGCTATCTGTGGAGTACTATGACGGTCCCTTCGCTCAGTTTTTGCACTCTCCCTATCTAAGAGTTTCTTCATCACAGAATTCATGACATTAATCTCTTCTTCATTCAAGCCATCATCTTGTATAATTGTATCATGCACTTGAATTCCTCTTAGGGGCTGAACACATCCAGATTTCAGAGAAGTTCCCTTATACAGAAGCTTATTCATCACTGAATTTATAATATCTCTGTCATTCATCTTGTCACTTTGTATGTCAACATAATGCTCTGGGCAATCACAGAAATGAACTGGAAGAGGTGGTACTACAACACGCTGGAAACTGTATTTGTGTTTGCCAGTTCCACGAAAAGGTAATGCTTTTACCTGCATTCAGTCAGTTTCAGAAGATATGATGCTCAAAAGGAAAGAGCAAGAATCTCACTTTCATAAAAATGAAAACAACATGCTCATAGAACAACACCACCAAGCTTGATCATCAAACGATACTGAAGTATCCAACAGGCCAACATACATCGACACAACATCTATTAAATACAGCCCCCCCCCCCCCGGGGGGGGGGTGGGGTTGTGGGTGGAGTGCATGCCAAAATCTCCTAACTCAACACAATTTTACATAAGGCAATGCATTACCTTCCTTAGTTTGGGAAAGAACATCCGGATCTGCATCTTTTCGGAGTCAAGGGTGCTCTTGGGCTCTAGAGAACCAGCCACATTTTCATCAAGATCATTCAGATTGGAATTAATGTTTTCACTATTTACGAGTTCAGCATCTTCTGCCCATTCTTGCTTCAACCGGTCAATATAATGTTCTTTCGCCTTTTCCAGCTTTAATTTCCCTCCCTTCCACAAACACCCAATATACTGAAACACATATCAGAAAAACATATTAGCAACCTAAAGTATCAAAATATTTTTTACTAACAGCATATAATCACCCCTTCCCCAGGGGCAGAGGTTTGTAATAAAATTGCAGGCCCCTGTGCTTTCTGTCTATGGGCAGTGGGCCTTCCTATGATAGTAGCTTAGTAATATCTGATACAGCAAAATGTTATCATTGAACTTCTGGAAGGAATATAGGCTGTTTGTCATAAGGGAGTTTTTTGAGAGTCCAATCAGGTTAATGAGATAATTCCTAGCAGGTGTTAGACTATATGCATCATTGCATCGAGCTACCACTTAGCAAAGACCAGTGTTCCTTCCAAGATCTATAAAAGACAATACAAATATAAGTTATATCTTTGAGAAGCATTGGTCAATCTCTCTCTTTCTGAAATATCTAAGATCTATCCCTGGAAGAAGGCTTAACCAGCACAGTGCGTAGAGTGCACAAGTATTAGAGACAGAAGAGGGCAATCAACTGAAGAGGGATTTGGAATGTGATTGATGAATGGGTAAGGGATCTAGTGCTTGTTAGCCTACATTTTTGCAATAATAAATAAATAAATAAAAATTCCAATTGACCCTTGATAAAATACACATTAACCCCAAAAACAGCATATTAAAAATAAATTACTGCACATGTTTCTAAGAATCAACTTAGCTTTGAACAGAATTAAGAGATATGTGGTACCTAAGGTAAAAGATGAAATTTGATTGATGTGTACCGGTAAACAGCGATGATAAAGGATAGAAGCATTCAAGAGGCTTGTTTCTCCAAGTGTAAAACAAACTAACAGAAAACTCTGAATACTCCGCATAATCCCCTCTCTCTAAAATGCCCCCACTAAAGCCATACTTCCTTGCCTAGGAAGCAAATAAATGTTACAGCCTACAGTACACAAACATAATATTATTACAATTAAAGCCCCCGGATGCTAGCTCAAGCCTACTATAAACAATAACACATGTTAAAGTTGTATTAAGTATTACTAACTCCCTCCATGAGTAAAAGCAGCAGCACAGCAACAAAAACAATAAAGCCTTGATCCCAAAAGGAACTGGGGTGGGCTAACATGAATCGCCATTCGAAATTGTCCAGTGAAAAATTCAGGAAAATTAGATGAGATTGTAAACAAAGTAGAGTGTGAAATTGAAAGTAGGGCAAGTTAAGTAGAGAAAACATGGTTCAAAAAAAAAAAAACAAAAAGAGGAGGGTGACAACTAAAGCTCAAAAAAGAAGGGTATAAATAAAAATTGAGGTATTATAATTATAATAAAATATGAAAACATATACAATTATACAGTATTGATAAGAAAATTAAATTTGAAAAGTAATTAAATGTAAAGTGAACAAATGAAAAGGTTCGGAGATAGAAAGAGAATAAAAAAATATGAGTGAGATTACAGTTAGTATAAGAAACATCATGTCTTATCTTGACAAATATTCTCTCCTTCTACTATACCCTATCCAATGCATACACTCCTCAATTCCCAATAAACTCATATAGCTCTCAATAACCTTACTCTACAGTCTACACCTACTCCTTACAACCCCATCATTTTGCCACTCTTCAAGCCTCCTAAGTCCTAACCATTGCATCACTGGGTCTCCATCTTACATGCCAAAACCTTAAGTGATTCTCCCTCATCTTATACTCAATAAGTGTAACTGTGTAAGCTGTGTAACCCCTACTTTCTTCCTAATTATCTCATTCCTAGCTGATCCTTTCTAGTATGACCACACATCCATTACAGCATATGCATTTCCAACACATTAATCTTATGACTGTGACAATGTTTCGTGTCGTGCAGTAACATTTTCCCTTCAATCTATGTGCCATGACAATATCACATAGAAACCTAGTAGCAATTTGTAGTTAATTAGAGACAATGTGAAAAAGTTATCTGCAAGGAAATTAGCGAAATCTGCACAATCCAATCACTTTTTAAAAATATTTGCACAATATGATGAGCTAGGAACTGGAATTTGCCTCAGCCTTCGACTCCAGAAAATGCTTGCCAATCAAAAACAAGGGAGCAGCTCCTTCAAAACTATATCTGAAGTCCCTTAGATATAATCGGCCAAATCTTTATAGTCTGACCCCTAATAATTTATGAAATTTAATCAGTGCTAAAATAGGACCTTCTTGAATCTTGATTGCGTGAATGATTGTACTACATCCTTAAACAAACAGATTTTACTCAATTGGTAAACTATTTCTAATAGATAGAATCAAATACTTGCCCTTCCTACCTAACCTTTTGCTATCTTCCCTATAGGAACAGATTACAATAAATCGGAATACCAACACAAAATACATAAATGTATTGTACAACCTAAGAATATTTCATGATAATCAATAGACTTCCAACCCCATCCCCTCATTGATCCCTCATTCCTTGGTCAACTCAAAACCATCGCTCCAAAACAACTCAGCAATTTCATCCAAGAATCTACAAACAAAACAGGGGATAAAAGAGTGCAAACCTAACAAGCAATTCAACCAAGACAAAGGGACAATTATATGAAATATAAGACCATAAAAAACTTAATACCCATAAGCCGAAAATATCACCATCTGAATATGTATCAAAAGGGCTGGGTAATTATCAACGCGCCTATGTGAGCAAAACAAGACAGTACTGTGCTAGGATAAAGTGAAAATAGAGCAAAATAACAGCCGAAGAAATTAAAATGGACAGCCTAAATATCAATTGACTCAAAATTATTCCCAAGAAACTCATGATGATGAAAAATAAATTATGGACATCCCCTAGCTCAACACTAAGATTCAAAAGGAAACAGAAAGCAAAATGCCTATTTCCCCAATCAAATTCGAAAGGCAATCAAATTCCAAAGACAACCAAATTATTCATATAAATTATTTCACCCATTTCCCCAATCAAGTTCAAAAGACACCCCAAAATTACTTGCTATTCATAAACTATTTCATGTAAATTCTATCACTCGCCAAAATTACTTGCTATTCATAAACAATTTCATGAAAATTCTATCACACATTTCCCAAACCATATTCGAAAGGGAACCAAATTAATTGTTAATAGTATAAATTATTGCACACATTTCTCTAATCAAATTCGAAAGACACCCAAAAATAATTGCTATTCATAAGCTATTTCATACAAATCCTGTCACACACATTTCCTCAATCAAATTCGAAAAAGGGGACCAAAACAGAATTACCAATCAACACAATTGCAGAGTAAATCATAATGAAAGAAACACATTTGAAACAAACGATAAACACAACAAACAAAAAAAACCCATATAGCAAAAACATCAACCACTAAAAAAACAACAAATTATTAAAAAGAAATTGAAAAAAATTATAAGAAAGAGGGGAATGATTGATATACCGTGCTGAAAAGTTTGGCAAGGGAGTTTTCTGAAGAAGGAAGAAAGTTAATGTAAGCAAAGCTACGACCTTTAGTTCGAATAATATCAATAGTTTCAATGGAACCCAGATGAGAAAATGTGTTGCGGAGATCCTCCTCTTTCACTCTCTCTCCTAAACCACCAACATATAGTCTCGTCGCCATCTTCGCCGCCCTTTCCTCTGCTTGTGTCGCCGGTGGTAGTATCAGGGTTCGGCCTTTGGGGTTATGTGCTGCTTTTGTGTGTTTAAGACCTTTTGTTTTAACGAGTTTGGCTCAACCCAGCACCATGCTAGTCTACGCGCAAGCGTAGTCAATTAACCTAAGTGAAACTTTATACGACTAATACGAGTACATCGTTATGGTTAGCTCTAACTCGATGGTTTTGATTATTGGTAAAGTTTGATTTTGTTACTTGACTTGGTAAGGTACTAGTTATGACGGTTAATCTGTGTAAGATGATTTCTCAATCTCTAGTAACGGTAGTCAATTATGACTCTAGTAACCGACACTTTTAACAGTTTTAGGTTGGTATTGTTTTTAATGTCGTTGGTATTCTTTTTGATACTGACAAGGCGACAAACTCTTTTAAAACATGGCTACATAAAAAGTAGCGTGCATGATTGTGGTTGTGGGGCTCAATCTTCCATCATTTCATCCTTCGTTATTTCTTGTAGGCCTCCTTTATTATTTTTACTGTATTCATAGTGAACGTACATAGGATTATCTTCTTCTATGCACAATTTTTGGACATTTTTGCCAAAACTATAGTGTTTTCCACATTTATATTGGCAAGAAATCTTATTGCCGTAGGATTTATTAACTCTTTATTTGTTGATGGATCCCAAACATTGTTACGGTGGTGGATTAAATTTCCTTTAACGACTCCCATATTTGTACATTGTAATCGAACTTATAGGAAATAGTATTTGCTAAATGTTTTTTTGAAAACATATTGTTGAAACAACACTTTGGTAAGCATTGACAAGATTTTATTAGTTCAAAACTACAAATATAACACCTCAACGGACCAACCGCTGATTAGGATGAAGTATAATATCACAAAATGAGCATCTAACACAAGTTCTTTTACCGTATTTTGTCTAAGACTACTCCAAATCAAGCAATGCGTGACTACAATTATTTACCCCGTTGAACCACTATTCACTGCCCTTTGCGACTCTTTAAAAAAAAAAAAAAAAAAAAAAAAATAAAAAATAAAAAAATTTATACATATTTAACAAAAACCGGTAACAAGACCAAAGGATTAATATGATATATATGACATGAATTGTACAATAATCTATGATTTTATTATTCAATATGCTACATCTTATAAAATGCCCCCAAAAAGGCCATACAAAAAAGAAGTATCAAATATCTTACATTACATATATATAGTAAAGGAAAAATTGATTGTAATAAAATCCCACCTTTGACCGGTTCGCTGCTAATAATCCCACCTTTTGATTATTATCTAATAATCTCACCTTTAGGAAGCATTCTCTTTTAATGGTCCCTAACCTGTTGATAACCGATATAATAGGTTAACATGCCATGTGTCACTTTGTGGTTCGTCAAAATATTTTTTTATATTTCTTTTTAAAAAAAAAAAAAAAATTTCCCGGTCCTTCTTCCTTTTTGTTTTCCCCTCCTTCCTCCATTTTTCCCGGCTAGGCAACCCACCCTCCCCCTGCAACCAGCCACTCCCACCCACGATCCCAAAACACCAGACATGCCCATACCTGAAACAACCCGCCCCAACCACCCCCACCCCTAAAACAGCCTATCCTAGCCACCCGCACCCTCGAAACACCCCACCCCAACCTATCCTCACCCCAAATCGATTCATTTCAGCCTTCCCACACCCTGAAATGCCCAACCCCAACCTTGCCTAACCCCTTAAAAACGCCACCCCAGCCCTCCCCACCACGAAAATCCCCACCCCAACAAAGGCGCATTTTGGGTCTTCAAATTGGAGCATATTGAAGTTGTTGGTGGCCGAATTGCTTATTACAATGATTGTAGGTGGCCGAATTGCTTATTGCAATGATTTGGAAGTCGAATTGCTGTTGACTGGTGGCGGATTGGAGTGCAGGGATTGCGAGATGGCTGAATTGCACGGGTGGTGGCTTGCTGGTGAAAAGGATGCTAGTGGCGTGACCGTTAGTGAGTCAGCAAGGAGCAGCGAAGGCAAAGGGATTGCGTGGTATGAGGGGATGAATTGGGTTAATTGCTGTTGTTGGTGATGGTGGTTGGAAATGAAGAGGAACTAGTGGTTGGGGAAGGGGGGGGGGGGGTGATGCACTGATGCATGGCCAAGGAATTTAAAAAAATAAAAAACTTATCCAATACCGATCATAAGGGACCATTAGAAGAGAATACCCCCCAAAAGTGGAATTATTAGCAGCAAACCGATTAAAAGTGGGATTATTAGAATCAATTTTTCCTATAGTAAATTAGAAGCTCAATTAAGACTTCCAGGTTCCCCATTAAAATATCATGATTTTGTTACAAATGTTACAAAGTTTGTTTCTAGTCTCCAAACCAGTTCAAAAACAGCGACCAGAAACTGCCACTAGAGAAGGCGTTTCACTAATCCCTACACTAGCCAACCTGGGCAGCCAGGACCAAATTCTACTTACTTTATAATTTTCTAATCAAATTAGCCAAAAGATAACTGGGGAAAATTAGACAATAACTTTAAACAAAAAAAGAAAAAGATGAAGAACGAGGGGGACAAAAGTCTCTATTACACAAACCCCTTCTAGATATCAAATTCAACTTCAGCCAAATCTACCCGCCATCGGGCTCTACCTGATGTTTTTCAATGCTGTACACTTAAATCTTAATGACAGTGAAGCTGCAGAACGCTCAGAAGCCGAATAATACAAAGGCATCACATTTTTGGTAAAGCCCCGCATTCATGCCACAAACTCTACAAGACTGCCACTTTTTTCATGCATATTCTTCACTGCGACATACAATCGTCAGCTGTCGTAAGCATCTGTATATCCATTTCGTCTGCATGCTTTGTAGCAAAGTCCATCCCGTTTTCATCTGCAAACATCTTGGTAAGTTAAACGCCATAACATGTAATTGGAAGAAGAAAAAAGAGAATACATGAAAGCAAAGTTTAGGTATAGTCATCAGGATGAAGAATTATTACTAAACATAGAATCCAGAGACGGACGTTTAGGTGAATTGCCTCCCTTACGATCTGCAATACCAAAGCAAATCAAGAAATGGCATAAGCCTTCCATTTATCACAATTATATATGAATTCCCCATATACAAGTACTAGTAATATATATATGCATATATAGAACACGCAGTAAGTGGGTGGTGGTGGTGGGGGGGGGGGGGGGGTGGGAGGTTGAGCAGACTTAGCAGATTGCAAGGATTTCCTATCTGCCATACAATAGTTAGAGTAAAATTTTTGCCACATTGAAAGATTACAAAACATAGTTAAACCATTTCACTTTAACATTCCGCCAACAATACCTCAAAGACCCTGATCAGAAATGCCTTACATGCTACTATAAGCCGCTCATTAGTCTAAGTCATCATAGGGCCAATCATTCAATCCTAATACTATAAGATCAATGATGATTCCTACATATATCTAAGGACTACTCTTGTGTTGAGACTACCTTTGAAACATCTATTCATGTATACAGGATAAGCAACTATGAACTATCCATATATGTTTGGCTCGGATGGGAAGTTGACCTTAGTCCACACAGCTTGTATCCCCAGTTTAGCTTATTCTAGCAAGTTACCCAGATTTCACTTTACATAACGAACAATTGTATAGAAGGTAATTGCAAAAATTTATGCGAGTCCTTTCCCTCTTCCTCTCTTTCATCTCCTCCACCCACCTCCATTGGTTTATAGAAAATAAATGTGGTAAACTAAGTTTTTTCAAATGTACATGGTATATTGGTATGCACATTCAATGTTGACTAGCATTACTGTGACCTTCCATTAAGGGTGTTATCAAGTTATCAAATTCTTTAAAATATTGAAAAACTAATGTCTCAGGAAAATGAAGGAAAAAAAAAAAAAAAAAGAAAAACACCCTCAGTCCCTCCTCCATTCCCTCCTCCTACAAACTAGCACCATAGTTGGCCCAACCTAATATACAACTTACTGCAACCACAAAGCCACCCTTATACCCTTCCCACGTCTCTATATAAAATAAAGAAAAGGTAGCCCTTAATTTCCATCCATTCCATCATAATATAAAAATCCAATCCTTGTACAAATTCCAAACATCACCAAAATCGCCTACAATGCCAACTATTACGGACACTTTAAATGACAGGAATCCCAAATTAAAAAAGGGAAGACCCTGAGGAGAAAATTCTGGAGAAAAATCAGTGCAGCTTGAAGCTGCTAATGGAGGAAGACATAAAGGGCACATTAATTGAAACACCTCGCAGAAACCTCGAATTATGTTGTTGTTTTGATGTGGATGTGGCGTTGGATGGAGAAGCAGAGAGAAAGACAGAGAGTATGATGATCGAGAATTAAGATGCATGACATTTTGTTAAGGGTGTCTCCCTTTTCCTCCCCCTCCCCCTTCCTCTCCCTCAATACTTAAGCCTTAGGAATCTCAGTTCTTGCTCCAGCCCAGGCAAGGTACCTCATGTATGAGAAGTCAGATACCTACGCATATATAGTCACCTTTTCCCTCAACATCTGCACAGAGTGCACACAGTATAGACCCTTGCAACATCCACAAATGAAACAACAAAGGTGTTGAATAAGGAAACATATGCAATATCTACTAGAAAATCATAGCATTATGAGTTAGGGATGAGAAAAAATACCATAAGAATGATGTAGCCCCTTAACAGCGTCAAAGTTTTTGTACGTATATCCAACAAAACTTAGATCTTTTGATGTCAGCATCTGCAATGGTGTTGGGAGGATAAACAAAAATAATAAAATAAGCATCATATGAAACCAGGTTAGAGAGACAAAAAAAACATCTAAAGAGAGAAATAAGGATGGAAACAAGAACAAGGGTGTTGTTATATAAACAATAAACATTGCCAGTGAAAACTGAAAATTACATCAGACACCAAAGAAGTGAACAGAAGGAACAATAGATCGATTAAATTTATCAATAATGTATAGCTTGTTAGAGTGAAACAAGATGAAATGGCCAACAAAACTAACTTCAACTTCTCCATGCATTTATGGAACTTTGTTCTTTCAGTGTCCACAGCAAGAGATGAACAATCTGACAAACATTCCATCTTCCACTAATTATTGCTCTCTTGGAATAGTTACATGACTTGCATCTTTATAGAACTGT